TTTAAGAAACAGACTGAAGTACATTTATCAATGTGAAATTTCTTTCCGGTAAAAATAAAATAAAATATGAACAAGCACACAGCTTCCAAACCATTATTGCCACGTGTTCAACGGTAGATATTCTTGTCATCTTTTCTTCTGCAATCAAAATCTCACGGTGGGTCCCTAAATTTCTAACTTCTTTTTCACGTTGGGTCGCTTCACAAGGTCTAGTCAAAAAAGTTACACGTTCAATTTCATCGGTGAATGTCTCTTTTGCGGTGGATAGATTATTGGTGCAACCCACTATATACTCTAGAACAAACATGGTGTCCAGTCTGTAGTGTTGGGTCAATGGAGTGCATTATTGGTGTCTGTCATGTATATTTTAAACTTTGTGATTAATGTTTATTTTTGAGAGGTCCACTGGCAAATAATCCAAAGTAACTCGACTTTTTTTTTTTTTATAAAATAAATTATAAAAAATACCACTCTATTTTAGCATTTTTTTTTTTTATAAAAATATCATTTAAATTTTCAAAAAAGTGCATGTCAATCTCTCTATTGTGTTTTACCTTCAATTTGGTAGTGCAGTTTATTAGTATTATTTTTTTCTGTGTTTTTTTAGGCTTGATATGAAAACTTATAAAAGCAAAGTAATATCCACACTGCAAATATTTGATAAATGCACTTTAATTTTAGGTTAAATAACATCATTAACCATAAATTTATAATTAAGTGCATGGGAATTAAGAACACTTTTATTTGCTTAAAAAAAGAAAAAAAAATATATTAGAGTGTAATTTATCAGTGAATATAATCTCTCTAACAAAAATAAAACAAATAAATATATATATATGTGTGTGTGTGTGTGTGTATGCGAAAAGTCCATAGTTTCAAATGCATTATTGGCTTGTGTGGTTCCATAAGTTAGTCAATGTAAGGCCAAAATGTCAAATGTTTGTGGCAGCTGAACTGTCGATTTTGATAGAAAAGAGGAAATGACATGCATCATTCAGCTGAACTTGAATGTGAATGTGAATGTGAATGTGAATGTGAATGCATCATCCAAACAGCTTTCAGTGTTTGTCCCTTTCCTACAGTAGGTAGGTAGATTATTGTGCAGAAGCCTGTTCGATTTTTCTCTTTAAAAGTATTTGATCCCTAAATTTCATCACTTTAGAGAAGATGAGAATATCTTATGATTATTTGAGCTAATGCATAAAGGGAATTCTAGTTAAATGTGATAGTTGGGACTTCTTAAAAATTTAATTTTCTTTTCTTTTGTTTTGGATAGAATATTTCTCTTTGAGTTTAAGATATTCTTCAATATATTTAACATTACGAGTTAGTATTTTCACGTGTTAATAATTTTATTGAGATGGTTGATCAACTATCTAGTCTATCTTTTTTATTCATTCAAAAAAAAAAATATATATATATATATATATATACACCTAACTAATTTATACTTTTAACGTTTTTAGCCACGTCAATCATGGATTGCTGGCTCATTTGTTTGTATAATCGGCTTGAATTTTGACTTGTACTCAAGTTATACTCTTTATGTGTTAAAAAATAAAAAAATTTAACTAATTTATACTTTTATCGTTTTTAGCGATGTCAAGTAGAGATTGTTGGCTCATTTGTTTGTCTAATTGGCTTGAATTTTACTTATACTCAAGTTCTACACTTTATGTGTTTAGAAAATTAATCTTGAAGCTTAATTTCCGATAATAACCCAGTTTGGTACTTGAATTAGCTAGTAAAACTTATAATTGATTATATTTTCTTTTTTATATTTTAGTATGTTTAATCATTGTAATAAAATTTTCAAGATTACAAAAAAGAAAATATATATATATATATAATTGATTCCTTTGTGAACTTTATGCCATTCATTGTACCAAGGATCCAATATCCGGAGTAAAAAATTCGCGCAAAAATTTATTGTGATTCCCACTGCCTAATTTGGTCATTCGCCTCTCATCTTAACCATAAAAGATCAAATAAAAATAAAAATAAAAATAAAAAACAGAACAATGTGGGTTGCTTTACGCTAAATGGTTGTAAAAACACTTGAGAGGGTGTACAAGTGTAACCTGCTTATTTATTAAATTTTACTTTTTTTTTTTATCATGATAAAACAAAAACAATTATGAAATAAAACATTTAAATGCAAGTAGATAAACGCAAGAGTAAAAGATGAGCATCAAATTTTGTTGGTGAAAATTTTTGTTGGAAGAAATTTAACCAATCGGGATGAAAACCACGAAGTGATCGTGATTTATTAGAAAACTTGTTAAAATCCATGATTCAGACAATTGCATCTCACAATAATAACCACAACTTAATTTAATCACAAAACAATATTTGAAATATTTATCATCATCATCATAAACTATTTAAAAAATTTCCCTTCTAATGTGTGCATAAGTTCAATACACTTGCCCGTTATTGTCGTGTCCTGATTTTGTATTCATGTTCATATTCTATTTTATTTTATTTTTACTATTTTTATTTGTGTTGTTAGAGTGAGAATTCAACATTTGAAATATTTTCCATGAAGCCCTTACTAAGAGTACTTTGCAAATTGGAGCTGAATATGAATTATTCTTATAGCACAAATGTTTGTATTTGCTTTAATTTATAGTAAATGAATCACCGCTTGTGATTTGAAATAAATATGACTGTCCAAAATTGTAGTATTGCTTAGTTTATGCGACCGAAAAACATAAATAAATGCTGTAATTCGGGAAATTATAAGTTTGTTGGTAGTTCTTGGATTTATTAACTTGGCATATGCTTTTGTCCTCCCTCCAGGTAAGTTTCCTTTGCTTGGGTCCATGGACTTGGTCGCATTTTTGGGGTGTGTGTGTGTGTGGAATCCATTGATGTCTCCAACTTGCTTTTCATGATGGTATTTCTTTTCATAATTCAAAGAAGCTTTACTTTGTCCTTTTTTATTTTTGACAGGTACTTGGATGGTAAATTGCAAACTTTTGCCAAATTTTCCATATACCGGACAAAATAAACACACAATCTCTATCAGTGTCTCAATTTAAGCGCAAAAAGATCTAAAATAAAAAAAAAATAAAAAAATAGAATGTCACTCGTGTATATATATATATCACGGTTCACGGTCGCAGTTGCGGTATAACTGTGAATATTGATATAAATTAGCGGAATTGAATAGTTTATGAGGGTGTGCAACAATATCGGATCTTTAAAAAGAAATTACGAACCCGATAATACGTTGTGGATAAGTTGATAAAGTACAATAAAGTACACACCTCAGTTAAACTTTTAACCAGTGGTTCTATTTTATAAAGTACAATAACACTCTTTCAAGTTTGTCAAAAAGACATATAGACGAAACTTAGCCTATTTTGGGACAGCGCCTCAAATTTAATACGATCACCAAAGACACCCAACAGTAATTAATTAATATTTTTGCCATTTGATTTTTATTTTTGAATAACTACACCCCTTTTGAATTACCTTTTTAACCTCCACTTGATTTAGTATTTGTAGACCAATTTATTTCCTTCTCTCCCCTCAGCAACCTCAGCAACCTTACCACCACACAACTTATCTCTTTCATTCATTCATTGGCGTCATATTGCAACCAATACTTAATCTTTTCCGGTTGGACGTTGTTCTTTGTTGGTTTGATCCCTAAAGCTTACTGTTTTTGGTCTCTGAAGGTAACTATTCAGATTAAGGTTTTGGACCTCTCTGATTTTTAATTTCTGTTTGGCTCACTCTACTATGTTTTTGGCTCAATTTGTATATGATTTACCTTCATTTTTGGCTCAATTTGTACATGAAGCTCCTTGGTTTGAATTGAAAAATCATGATTATTTGTCAGAATTAAAATGCAACAACTTTGATCTGAACACCCAATGAAGGTTTTTTGTTTTTTTTCTTTTTGTAACACTTGAATCCAAACACCCAATCACGCACACCCAAACACCACCTAATTTCCCAAAAATCCCTAAACCACTCTCTCTCTCTCTATACACACACACACACAAGCCCACTGTCTCTCAATCTAAAACTCAGAATATACACACACCATCTCTCTATCAAAAATTCAGAATATAATATATATATATATATATATATATATATATAGTATCTCTATGTGTCTGTCGCCACTCTCTGTATATGTGAGTGTATATATATATATATCTGCAGCCTCTCTCCTTCTATATAATATTGGTGGTTGCCAATGGAAGAAAAAATTTATAGTAGTCCTCACAAAAAATAACAGATCAACGTACATACAGAAACAAATCACAAAAAGAAAAAGAAAAAGAAAAAGAAAAAGAAATATATATATATATATATATATATATATATATATAGATGATGGTGAGTGAGTATGACGGATTTATAAATTATTAAACCCTTTTTTCTTTGCCCATCTAGACAAAAGATAAGCTTTAGAGAGAGAGAAGAGTGTTTGTGGAGAGGCCATGAAGTTGGAGAACCAGAGGGTGGTAATGACAGCTGACTGTGGAAATGGGTGTGAGGGAAGAAGACGAAGGAGTGGAAGTCTGTAGAGAGAGATGGAAGAGGGTAGTTTGGTCCTTTAATTATTTTGATATTTTATAATTAAAATTAATAAAATAATAAAGGATAAAATGAACTTTTCACCCTTAATTATCTTTAAATAATTGAGTTTTTACAATTCTTTGACACTCAGCTATCCTACCTCAACCATACTGCGTCAAAAGTAATGCTATTGAGTTCCGTTCGTGTAAACAATTGGGTTTCCTCCATCAGTTCGCTACGATTTCACAGTATATAAAGATTTGAATTGTGAATTTATATCTTTCTTTCATTTCCTTTCACATGTGGTCTCTCAATCTAGCTCAAGACCCTTCTTCTTTTGCATTTCCTACTCTCTCTTCTCGGAATCTATACTAACTATTCAACTGTTGTTTTGCAGACACAACTTCTTTATTTGTTGATTGTCATATAACCCTAGAATTCGGAATCTCCACTAGGTAATCTGTTTTTTCTTTTTTTTTTTTCTTTTTTTTTTTTCGTGTAGAGTTCTAAAAATATCATTCATTGCTTGCTTTTGTAATTTGATTTTAAATTTCCTATATTACAATTGTACTGGAGATAGCATTTTTTTTTTTAACTACCATAGTGTCGGCATTTTTTTTTGTTAGAGAGCCTGATCCGGAATACATATAATTTTCTTTTATCCTTTATAAAATGATATATTTGGCTATAAATATCTCTACTAATATAACCTTGTCTATATCACAATTTTTAAATGTTGATCTTAAGTTATTTTTCCCTTTTATATGTTGAAGATACAAGATTTCGTTTCTTTTCTTTCTCTCTCTCTACCCTTCTTTTTTCCACTTTCCACCTGTAATGGTCTATTTATAGACCATCACCCTTATTGTAGTTAACCAATTACATTGGGCATATATTCGAAAGCTTTCTTCCTTCTGGGTTTGGTCTTCCAATGGGCTTGACCTTCCTCGGTGGATCCCCCAGGTTCGACCCATTCCAGGGCGCTTTGGCATGGATCTTACTTCAATCATTCGACCCAATCTCGTTCCCGCGAACCATATCCGGCCCATGCCACTTGCCGCATCCTCAACTGCCCCCATAATTACCCCTTATTGATTAGGTGGTAATTATTAAAGGCTGCTAATGATGACCTGACGGCTCGAGGAGATCGTGTGGGAGAATGGACAGTTAGATCTAGGGGTCGGCGTTTCGAGATTCAAAAAGACAACCCATCGCTTTCCTGACTCCTCGGCTCTTGGGCTATCCTCGTCTTTATAAGCTCCATTGATTCTCCATCGATCCTTTTTACCGTCTCCATCTCACCTTTTGCTGTTTGAATCCTCTCCGGCGATCTCTTGCGAAAGATCTTCCTTTCAGTGGCTTTGCAATACTCTCTGCCGTTTTCACTCTCTAAGGTTAGTTTCATTTGCATTTTTCTTTTGGAAGACTTCTTTCTCCTCCCCGGAATCCTCATTCACTCTTACCATGACAGTAGATCAAGACGTTCTTCGCATGAAACTTCACCTTCCTGACGATGTAGAAATTAGAAACTGCCCCTGAGAAGTGAATATTAGAACCGGTGCTGGCCTTCTTCCCAGCAAGGTCCTATTTTCACTCCTCCATCTCAATCTCTTTAGATTTCCTTTACATTCTTTCTTTTGCTATGTTTTTAACAAGCTAAATCTCTCCCCTTTACAAGTAAACCCCAATTTCCTAGGATTTTATCCGTTATGCTACTCCTGATTCGTGACAGAGGTCTGGATCTGGACCTCGTAGATCTTTTCCTCTGTTACAAAGTCAGCAAGATCAGAACTGACGAACCGTTTTACCACCTTTTCCCCATTGAGAAGAGGTCCATCTGCACGGATAAAATCAAATCCGAGAAGGGTTGGAGGAAAAACATTATTGGGGTTAGGGGGGCCTGGTTCTCTCCAGCTGCAGAGGATTTCCCTATCCCGAGCGCTTTCGGAGAGTGCTCTGTCTCGTTTTACAAGAAATATAAAAACCATAAGAGTGACTGTCCTTGCGAGATTTGCACTCCTCGTTTTTGTACTTTCTTGTGCCATTTCTTAGGCATTCCTTGTGATGACTTGAGTTACAGTGTGTGCAGGGATAGGGATAACTACTTGAAGCGGTACGTTCTGACCAACGTTCCCTCTTGCTCGGACCTTCTCACCTCAGATAATCTCCTTGATATCTCAGTCCTCGGCAAGACAATGAGCCAACTCCAGATCCCTTCCTTCGGCAGGAAGAAAACTGCCCCCAGGCCCGCTACCACCCCTGCATCAAATTCCTCCCCGGCTTCAGCATCTTCCTCCGCTACCCTTTCTGATACCACTCCTGTGATACCCCTCGGATCCGAGACACGGGTTGATTAGGCCCAGGCCCAAATCCGAGAGATATCAAACAATTAATATATTAAAACGAACACGGAATACAAAAGTGATTAAAGAGAAAAAATTTAAGCTGAAAGAAACTAAAATAAATCCTCAAATATAAATATTTAAACCTTGACAATCCAAACTCCATAAGTTTAACAACTCGGGAATCCATCTCTAGTGGACCCCTAATAAAATCCCAAACTGCATGGAAGAAAACTGAAGATAAAATCCAAATCTAATATCTGGAAAGAAGTCCTACGTTGTCGGTAGAATAGAAGTCTGTATCTGCTCTGCACGATCAAACTCTAACCCTGGAACTGACGAGTACCTGAAAAATATATGGGTGGGTCAGGCCCACATGCAAATCCTGATCTACGACAATCCAAACAGAAATCCGATACGCAGATACATACTAGAAAGAATCAACAATATCTAGAATAGTCCATATATGTATAAGTACACACTATAGGACGCTCACTAGTCCAAAAAGGTCTGTCTCAGCCTGAATAGAGATACCATGCAAATCGCACATACTGTGGTCATGTGTATCTAGACCTACTAGGGAACAACACCTCTGTCCAGCTATCCATCCTAGGCAATATACGCACCCCAACCATGGTCCTGAGACTCAAGCTCATACCATGGTACATATAATAAATATATAAAGTCCGTGTCCTTCTATTACAAAATATCAACCATCTGAAAAGTGGTTTGATAAATGTAAAGCAAATCCATCCTGAAAACCATATTAAGTCATTCAATTATTTGATGATATGACACAAGTAGGTGATGGACTTAACTCATAGGGTTAATCCATACCTTAATCCAAATTAGGTAGGATTTAGTGTTTGACTAATCCATACCTAGTATGTCACCGTCCCATACCGGTACATACAAATTCTCCATATAGCATAGTTATTAAAACAATACTATATAATCAACAACCATCCTCCAGTATATGCATTGGTATAAATTCATACATATATCAATATTAGGTATTCACTACAGAATCTAAATATCATGCTCCAATCATTTAAACAGCTAGAATAAGACATAGCATTTGAATCCTCCAAAACAGCCAATAAATTGATACATATTAAACAAGTTAAATGTCAATTTAAATTCAACTAAGTATAAATAAATATAATTAATTTACCCTACTTATAACACAGTAACAATATAGGGTTATATATAATTGAATTATATATAAAAACTTTGCCAAGTTCCAGTTATATAATCCTAGCAAAAACAGTGCAACGTATAGCCATTATTTGATCTGTTCATTGCTCTTACCCTTAAACCATTATGGTATTAAATGTTTTCAACACTTATTTAAGTCCCTAACATTTAATTACATCCCACAATATCATTTAAACAGCCTTAGAAAACACTGTACAGCCAAACAGCCCCTATAACTCGTTTCTGGGCAATTCAAGAAAGAGCAGGCTCAATTAAAACATTGAGCCTGCTCTAAATTTAGGTTAGAACCGGCTCCTTCAGCATTGAGCCGGCTCCATCTTCCTAATAGAGCCGGCTCCATCCTCTTTGAGCCGGCTCTAAGGTGATTTTAGAGCCTGCTCCTTCTCCGTTGCAGTCTACGTCCGTTCTAGCTTCATCTTCTTCAACTCCGGTGATTACAGAGCCTCTGTGGTGTGTTCTAATTCTTATTCTAGGTTCAACCTTAGTCCTAAATAAGTTTAAGCCACTGAGTTCTAATCCTAACATGTGTAGGAACACAAGTTTCAAAGCCCCGTTTACAGAACCTCTGTTAGCAAATCCTAAGCAAGTTGCAACAGATTTAATTCAGACAAATTTGGTGCAATTAAATTCTATTTTAAACACTTGTTTTGGAGTTCAAATTCAGTCGTAGATTAGTTAACAAACAATGATATACAATCAAAACTTAAATTGAAACACAAGTTGATTCACAGCGGCAGCAAGGTTACAAGTTAATTTTCCTAAAGCAACCAAGAACAGATTAATACCATCAATTTAATTACTGATTAAACATGCATAATAGATATAATTAAGCCTTAGTATAATCCCTGGAGTCTTCCTAGTCATGCACAGAACACGAATTAACGGGAGAGAGAAGAACAGAACTTGCCTTGAGACTTTGGTTTAAAAACCCCCAACTGTTGTCTCTATCTTCTTTGGCTACCTTGGTTGTATCAAACAGCCTCTGCTGCTCCTAATTCAGTCCCGAACTCCTCCTTGAATCACTCAAGTTCACTATGTATTTCCTCTCAATCTTTCTCTCTATTTTCTCTCTATCACACTGTATACGTGATTATGGTGAATATGGTTTTTATTTGTAACCCTAAATCAATGTATAAACAATATATATATAGACTCTACAGAAACCCTAAGTCCATACAGATATCACTCGGCCCATAGGTAATCCTAGGTTATAACAATGTCGGCTATGATAAAACCTAAAACCCTAAGTTACAATTAATGCATTTAAAACACATTAAACCAATTAACATAAATAAATAAATAAACAATTAAAACAATCAAATTAAAACTAAAAATAAAACATTTAATTCAAATAAAATCAACTAATAACAATTAAATTAAACAATATCAAGTAGTTCAAATAAGTTCAGATAAAATCAAATAACACACCAATTAATACACCAATTAATGAAAATACACACTTAAACAATTTAAAAATGCAATAAAATAATTAATAAAAATATCAGAATTATCCTTTTGAATTTAGGGGTATTACAACTCCTTCCACCGATCCATCCGTGACGGCTGCTGACCCGGTCGCTAACACGGCGACTGCCAGTCCGAACGTTACCCCCTCTGTCAACAATCCTCCTGGTTCTACCACTGCTTCCGCACGGGAGAAGGCCAGAGGAAAAAGACATCAACCTGACAGTGCCCTCAACATGGATGACGTTCCCTTGTCTCAGAGGGTTAGGCCCTCTGGGCCGAATGTGGTATCCCTGGCGAGACCTCCTCAAGCTAGGCCCCCCACCCCTTCTGGGCATGCCTCCGCTTCAGGAACGGCGCCATGGAGCCCTCGCTTCATTCGAACAGACGGATCGTCTGTGAAACCGACCGAGACTATGTTCAAAGATGGTAAGACCGCAATGGCTTACTACAGGAGTATGTGGACTCCCAAGGACATCGAGGTAGCCAAAAGTCTGTCTCAGAGGGAGGTGTTCAGCCGATTTCCTTTGTCCGCCATGGAGGTAACTTCTACCCCTTAGTCAATAAATCTTTACATACTCTTGACACTTATTTTCTTTTAACCATCTGCTCGGCTTAACCAGTTGTCCTGTATATCTCTACACACCTTATACGGGATGATGGCTATGCAGAAACAAGTTGAGCATGTGAATGCCAAGGTCCGCGCGCTTTCTGACAGCCTTAATGCAGCGAACAAGGAGAACGACGATTTAGCTGCTCAGAAGACCGGGTTGATGGTTCAGCTTGGTAAAATTGAAAAAGAGAGGGATTCGCTGAGGAAGGAAACTGACTCTCTTCAGGATGAGAGGAATGCTCTGCAGCTTGAAAGGAGCGTCTGGCATACCGAGCGGGAATCCCTTAAGGCCGAGAAGGAAGAACTGCTACGCCTTCTGAGTGATGAGCAATCCGCTCGGATGGCCTTTGAGAAAAAGGCCTTGGACAAGCGCAACACTTTACTTGATACCATCAGCAGGGTAAATGGTGGTATGCTAGCTCTGCATGCTCGGTTCTCTAGAGTTGGAGCCCTCAGATATGCTCAGGGGTTCCGAGAGGGTTACGCCGATCGCGTCCCGGATGAGGGTCAGACTGGCTCTACCCATGATGATGTAGATAAAGACCTGGATATTGACCCTCCTGGTGTTTATACCGATCCAGACTCCACCGCTGCCGAGGGCATATTCGATAAATGTCAGGAGATTGCGTCTTCTCGGATCACTCATACTCCTCCTGCTGCTCTGACTTTGGACATTCTTCCTCTGTCCACTTTGACTCCGTCTGCTGTCACTGCTGAAGATAACCCTCAGTAGAATGAATCTTCCAACGCTGTTGAGGGTAGGACTCAACAGAACGATTCTATCATTCACCTCGACTCTCCACCTCGTGAAGACGGCGACACCACCAATAATGAGGAGGTAGCCCAACATCATCAAGAGGCCGACGAGGCAAACGCCTCTTAGTTAGAACTTTTTTTTTTTTAAAATGTACTGACTTTGGTATATTTGCCATCTTTACACCTCATTTTTTGTAACCCTCTGAACCTTATTAATGAGATGGCCGACTTTTGGTCAAACTTTTTATGTAAACTTCCCTTTTTTTTTTTTTTTAGCAAGTGTTTGGCGTTCGGCTCATTGTGCCAACTGCCATTTACTTTGCTCAGGCGCCTGGCGTTCGGCTAGAATGCCACTTGCCACTTGGCCCTTTAATTTTCTTTAGCAAGTGTTTGGCGTTCGGCTCATAGTGCCAACTACCACTTACTTTGCTTAGGTGCTTGGCGCTTGGCTGGAATGCCACTTGCCACTTGGCCTTCTATTTTTCTTAGCAAGTGTTTGGCGTTCGGCTCATAGTGCCAGCTGCCACTTACTTTGCTCAGGCGTTTGGCGTTCGGCTAGAATGCCACTTGCCACTTGGCCTTCTATTTTTCTTAGCAAGTGTTTGGCGTTCGGCTCATAGTGCCAGCTGCCACTTACTTTGCTCAGGCGCTTGGCGTTCGGCTAGAATGCCACTTGCCACTTGGCCTTTTATTTTTCTTGGCAAGTGTTTGGCGTTCGGCTCATAGTGCCAGCTGCCACTTACTTTGCTCAGGCGCTTAGCGTTCGGCTAGAATGCCACTTGCCACTTGGCCTTCTATTTTTCTTAGCAAGTGTTTGGCGTTCGGCTCATAGTGCCAACTGCCACTTACTTTGCTTAGGATTTTAAAGAGGAGTGGAATCTTTATAAATCTCAGAAACTTATACATTCAACTGTTTTCAATTTAAAATAAAAAAAATTCGGTACTGAATCTCAACTTTTTATTGATAATACCTCTTCAGAGAAGTAGCATTCCAAGGCTTGTTAACCAGCCTTCCGGCCATGGTTTCTAAGGTATATGCGCCTTTTCCTATGGCCTCTGCAATTCTGAATGGGCCTTCCCATGGTGGCATCATCTTTTTGACTATCCCCACCTTCTTTTTCAGAACCAGGTCACCTGGCCTAAAGTCTCTGTACTTTACTTTCCTGTTATGGCTGTTCGCAAGCGTCTGCTGGTAAGATGCGAGCCTTACCGCTGTTGCGTCTCTTTTTTCTTCCAGCAAATCGAGGTTAAACCTTAGCATACTGTCATTATGCTCACGGTTCCATGCCAAGCTTCGAACAGTCGGAACTAAGTGCTCGACTGGTATAACTGCCTCGGTTCCATACGCCATGGTGAATGGGCTTTCACCGGTCAGTCGTCTAGGGGTCGTTCTGTAGGCCCATAGGACGTTCGGTAGTTCATTTAATCACCTTCCTTTCTTCTAGTTTCTTCTTGATACAAGTAAAGATTGTTTTGTTTGTAATTTTCGCTTGTCCATTGGCCTGTGGGTGACTTACTGCTGCCAGCTTTTGATTAATTCCATACTCCTCCAACAGCTTTCTTACTTGCTTACTGTCAAGGTTGGTACCATTATCCATGACGATTGACCTCGGAACACCAAACCGGCAAATAATATTACTCCAAATGAATCGTCTCACATAAGTTTGAGTAACGCTCGGATATGGCTCTACTTCCACCCACTTAGTAAAGTAGTCTGTAGCCAGTAACACATACTTGTTCTGAGCTCTGGCAGTTGGTAGAGGGCCAACAACGTCCATCCCCCATTGTGTGAAAGGCCATGGTGTGGCCATTACATGCAAGTCTTCAGGCGGTTGGTGAATCAATGGTCCGAACCTTTGGCATTTATCGCACCTTCTGGACAATTCTTCCGAATCTCGCGACATGTTTGGCCAGAAGTACCCTTGAGCCATTGCTTTGTGTGCTAATGATCTCCCCTCTGAGTGGTTTCCACATACGCCTTCATGAATGGCTCGTAATATTTGCCGAGCCTTTGTGGGGGTAATACACTTTAAGTACAATCCGGAAAAAGATCTTCTGTATAACTGGTCATGTACTACGGCGTACTTTGCAGCATTCGCTTTGATTTTCCTAGCCTCATCTCTTTGTTCAGGCAGAGTACCATCTCGGATGTAAGTTATGATCGGATCAATCCAACTTGGCTCATACTGAATAACATTCACTTGCCAAGGATCCGAGCCTGAAGGTTCTTCGAAAATGGATGGCTGGTTTAATATTCCCACTGGAACCACCCTTGCCAATGTTTCTCCAGAACCCGAGGCGCTACATGCTAGCCTGTCGGCATCTTCGTTATACTCCCTCGGAATTTGAATGAATTCAATTTTTTCAAAGTTCTTCGCCTCCCGCATAACAGCAGAACGATATGCTTCCATCGTTTCATCCTTGGTTTCATACTCACCCCTCACTTGCCGAACGACTAACTGTGAGTCACTAAAAACATTCAGATTCCTGACCTTAAGTTCTTTGGCAAGCTTTATTCCTGCCAGCAACGCTTCATACTCTGCCTCATTGTTCGTGGCTGCGAATTCAAGCTGAAACGCTTGGCTTAAGGCTATACCTTCTGGCGTCTGCAGTTTGATCCCAATGCCTGCACCCATCTGATTTGAGGATCCATCAACGAAGAGTTTCCATAAGCACTTACAAAGATCCTCCTCCACGTCCTCTGAATCACATTCTAGTAAAAAATCTGCCACCGCCTGCCCTTTGACTGCTGTTCTAGGTTCGTATGTGATATCAAATGAGCTTAACTCTATGGCCCACTTCGTCATTCTTCCGGAGAGATCTGGTTTATGCAGGATTATTCTGATAGGAAAGTGGTTAGAACAATAATAGGATGGGATTCAAAATAATGCCTGAGCTTTCTTTTTGCATGCACTAGCGAGAGTATCACCCGCTCTGCCTTTGAATAACGTCTTTCGGGCTCAGTCATTGTCTTGCTAACATAGAACACTGGATATTACTTCCCTTCTGCGTAGCGGATCAGAACGCCACTTGTCGCGATGCTGGATATTTCGAGATACAAAAACAGCTTTTCGCCTGATTCTGGAGCTGACAGTACCGGAAGGTTCTGCATATATTTTTTCAGAACAGTTAACGCTAGGCGTTGTTCATCTCCCCAAACCTGCCTGCCGTGGTTCCGTATTGTGTCAAAAAATGGTTTGCATCGATCTGACAATTTGGAAATGAAACGACTCAGTGCAGCAATCCGTCCCGTAAGTGTTTGCACTTCTTTGATTGTCGTTGGCTCGGCATTCTTAGTCAGAGCATCTGCTTGGGCAGGGCTTGCCTCGATGCCTCTGAGATTAACCACGTGCCCTAGGAATTGGCCTGAACTTACACCGAACGAGCACTTGGTCGGATTGAGCTTCATTCCATATCGCCGCAACACATCAAACACGTCTCGAAGATGCTGCACATGATCAGCTTTCTTCTTACTTTTGACCACTATATCATCAATGTAAGCCTCCACTGTCTTCCCTATTTGTTCCGTAAAAATCCTGCTTATAAGTCTTTGGTAAGTTGCCCCGGCGTTCTTCTATCCGAATGGCATAACTTTGTAGCAATACGTCCCGCGCTCAGTAACGAAAAAAGTTTTTTCTTCATCAGCGGGGTCCATGGGGATCTGATTATAACCCGAATAAGCATCTAAAAAGGTCAAGCGTTCATATCCAGTAGTTGCATCCACCATCTGATCAATCTTTGGCAGCGGGAAGCTGTCCTTCGGACAAGCTTTGTTTAAATTGGTAAAATCAATGCATACGCGCCACTTTCCATTTTTCTTTTGCACAACGACCACATTCGACAGCCAGTCAGGGTAGTACACTTTTCTTACAAACCCCGCATCAAGCAGCTTGTTAACTTCCTCGGCAATAATTCGGTTGCGCTCGGGGGCAAACCGTCGCTGCTTCTGCTTTACAGGTTTTGCATTGGGGTTAATGTTCAAGGAGTGACAGGATACCGAAGGATTGATCCATGGCATGTCTAGGTGACTCCATGCGAACACATCTGCGTTTTGAGACAAAAAATTAACTAATTCCTGCTATTCCTCCTCAACGAGTCGTTCCCCTACTCTGGTTGTCCGTTCCGGTCGGAACTGATCGATCTGCACATCAAGCAGTGGTTCTTCAGTCAAGCCTACTGGTTCCTCCTCTCCATTCTGCTTGGAGGGAGGCTCCTGTAATTGCTATTTCGGACTTACTGAACGAATGAGAGCTTTCCCCTTTCCTGCATGTTTCAGCGTTACAGAGTAACATTCTTTAGCTGCAACTTGGTCTCCATGAATGTCAATCACTTTGGTTCCGTCCGGTCCCAGGCATCTCATTCCCTGATGCAGAGTGGAAGGAACACCTTGAACTCTGTGGATCCACCCTCTGCCCATCAGAAGATTGTAAGAGGGATGAATTTCAACAACTACAAAGGTTTCCATCAAAACCCTCTCGGCAGCGTGTACCGCTAGCGGATTCCCGGTGGATTTCAGCTGATTCTGTTTGATCTCGAGCCGATCGAACATATCTCTTGGCATGATGTTCGCACTACTTCCAGGGTCAATTAGAACTCTGCGCACCAAGCATTTGGCCACTGTCAAACTTACGACCAGCGGGTCCTCATGAGGGATCTGAACACGTAACAAGTCTGTTGCGTCAAACTTTATCTGCGTTGATGCGCTCTGCTGGTGCAGAGTGTTTACACTACCTATCATTCTCTTCATTCGTACCTGACGAAGGCGTGTTCGAAGCAGTTCATCTGATATCTCAGCAGGTTCTGGCCGACCGTGAATTGCATTAATTACTCGAACTAGTTGCGTGTTGTGAGAACTCGACTTCTGATTCTTCTTCACATGCTCCATTGGTCGGTTCTACTCCACCGTTGGTCCTTGAATATAACTTGCGAACTCCCCTCTGGCTATCAGCATCTCTACCTGTCTCCTTAGGTTCCTGCATTCGTTAGTCTGGTGGCCAAAATCAGAATGAAATGCACAGTGCTTAGACTAATCCCTCTGTTCGAGAGGTTGTCTGATTGGTAAAGGAGGTCGGAACTTATCTTTATTTTCTTGGTATAGTCTCGCTAGGGTAACTTTCAATAGAGTAATCAGCTCTTCATCTCTGGGCCTCTTCTCGGATTTCCACGAGGAGCGTTGTGGTTGAACCTATTTTTGCCTGATCTTTGCTTTGGTCTTTTCTTCCGTGGATATAACGGATGTCTTCCGAGCGTTTGCCGCCTCTTCTTCTTCCAAGCGCACAAATCCATCGGTTCTTTTGTTAAGTTCATCCATAGTCCTCGGTATGTTGACCACCAAGCTTGTGTAGAACGGGGTGCCACGATTCATGGCCAGTATGAATGCTTGAACTGCCGTTGAAGGGTGACATTCAATAACCATGCTCTTGGTAAGGTTAAACCTGGTTAGGAAAGCCTGGAGACGCTCTTCAGCGTGTTGCTTCATTGTGAATAAGCTCGAAATATCTTTCGCTGGACGCTTGTTTCCATAATATTGGCTTATGAACCGATCACACAGGCTTCGGAAACTATCTACTGAACCCCTCGGCAGGTTCTTGAACCAATTCAGAGTTGGTCCAGCCAGACTCGTAGGAAAGCACTTGCACATCAAAGAGTCATTCTCAGTGTTTAGAGCCATTTTCAGCTGGATGTGATACACATGATCGATCGGATCAGTCGTTCCGTCGAACAGAATGAAAACGGGCATGGAAAATTTCCTCGGACTCGGAGCATTCAGAATCTCATCGGTGAACGGTGAATCAACCGTTCGAGCTGCTGAACGGAGTGCTTCATTTTCCCTCTGGAACCCCGCGGCTACTCTCTGGTCTACTGATCTCCTCTCCGAGCTGTGATAGTCACACGTCGGTATGGAAGGCCGATAGGTCGGATCGAATGATCTATCCTCAACGAAGTCTTTGCGCCATGGAGGCATAGCTTTCTGATGAATCACCTCTGTTGCTTCACCTCGGCTGAGCGTTTCTTGATGTGGATCAAAAGTCATTGCTTCGTTTCGCCTGATCTGCTCACGTCGTGGATTCATGTGAGTCGATCCTTCATGATCAATAATACGACGAAGATTTGGCGGCAAACCGTCCCGCCGGATTTCCTCGCGGTGAGGATCTACTAGATTGTTTCCAGCCTCCTCACCGTGATGTGCTGCATCGGTACGTGCGCCTTTTTCTCCTACCGGGAGTGGTCGTGGAATTACTGGAGCTTCTTGACGCTGCATTTCATTCTTTAGATCCACATTTTCTCTCCGGAGAGCTTTGATCATGTTCATCAACTCATCAAGTTTCACTTGCTGGACGTTCTCAACCGTATTAGAGTTGTCACCCCCTATCATGATTCCGGATCGAAGCAAAGGCATGAATTACGAACTTCGAAACAGATCTAATCATTACCGATGCAAACTTCGCTAGATCTGGGCTTAACTTCATCGAATCGTGATCACTGTTTGCTAGATCTGAACTTTTCTAGCTTCAAACTCGTCGGATCTGACTGAAACTGAGCAAATCACAATTGCGTCATTCCAAAGCAAATGCCTCAGAATCCACAATAAGCAAGAATTCTCTCGGAACAAACTACAATCTCACTGATCTGGATTCAACTTCCAGAAATCACACTTCGTATTCACAAACTCGATTGAACTAATATAGTACTGATCGGGTTTGAATTGATCTTCGTCCTCGATTCCCACAGACGGCGCCAATTGAAGATACAAGATTTCGTTTCTTTTCTCTCTCTCTCTCTAGCCTTCTTTTTTCCACTTTCCACCTGTAATGGTCTATTTATAGGCCATCACCCTTATTGCAGTTAACCAATTACATTGGGCATATATTCGAAAGCTCTCTTCCTTCTGGGCTTGGTCTTCCAATGGGCTTGACCTTCCTCGGTGGATCCCCCAGGTTCGGCCCATTCCTAGGCGCTTTGGCATGGATCTTACTTCAATCATTCGACCCGATCTCGTTCCCGCGAACTATATCCGGCCCATGCCACTTGCCGCATCCTCATATGTGCAAAATAAAACTAAACGATATTAAGGTATTAGCCATAGTTTATTTGTTTATCTTTTACATCTTGTTTATCTTTTTATTTTCTTTGCCAATTTTGAATGAGAACGCAAATATTTTATATATTATTAACTATCTTATGTATTTAAATTAACACTAAATGGTTATTAAGTTTTTTCTCTCAACATCGTGCTGGGATTCAACTAACTCTATAAATCTTGAACTATATATTTCCACTAAGGAAGTTCACTGACCCCTTGTAACACCCCCACATTTTCCACGCATAAGTTGATCAGGCTTATACACGAAAAACGAGGGATATCAAAACAATTGGCAATATACAAGCATGGAATACAAAATGATGGTAATAAAAGAATTTAGACAGGAAAGGAACACTAAATAATACAACATCCATCCATCCTTTATTTAATACAGTACTCCATTACAACTTGGAAATCCTATGTCAAGGATCCCTAAATATAAACCGAAGAGTTCAACGTCAAAAGTAAATAATAACGGAAACTGAAGTAATGCATAAAACTTCTACCCTGAACTGGATCGTAAGAGTAGATGAGTTCGGATGGTGGTCCCTCACTGCTAACCTCAACCTTGGAACGGGTACTGACCGTATCCTGAAATAACAACAATGATGGGTCAACCCCACGAGCAAGTCCTCTCTACTATGACTTAAATCAGAGAATCAAATAAATTAATCATTTATATCCGGATGAGTACTATATCTGTATACATCCTAATGGAACTAGCCAATGTATAACATGACCTCAACCAGAATAGGCGGTGATCACTTAGACTCACACTAGGTGGTTAAGTGTCGCCTTTCCCTACCCGGAAAATCAGCTATTATACATGGTGCACGATACTGACAACACAGACTATAACGAACTACACAGTGATAACACCTCTCAATATACTAATGAATATACTGAGCATATCAATTAGGCAACACATACCAACAATATTAATAAATATACCGAATATGTCAATTAGGCAACACATGCCAATAATATTAAACCACATACCCCGATAGCCACACATCTGTCTATCGTAACGAATGCATAAGGTATAAATGAGTCAGCTCACATGGTTTTATATGGCAACACATCCATATAATATAAATGCGACATAATTTAAACAGTCCATTTATTTTCCGGAAATGCACACAGCATAATAATAATGAGTTGTATATCATTAACAACATAAATAATCCTGCAATGTATAACGGACAATTTATTTGAATTAAAACCATGTAATTTAATTTTAACATTAATGATTAATACCGTTTAATAAAATAATAACACAATTAATAATTAACAATGTCATTAAATTAACTACATCCGTTGAATGGTGATCTGTATTGAAAACGATACAATTATTATTTAAAAATAATAATCGGACATAATAATAACTAACGGGTAATAAAATAATAATTTAATGTCCCGTTAAACCCGTAAGTACCAACCATAGGCCCAAAAATGCAAGTTTAAGGTTCTAGAAATTACAAAACAGTCCCTAGGGGTATTCTGGACTTTTCCAGTAGCTGTAGGGGTCCCTCACGCGCCCCCACGCGCCTCCCAGAGCTTCCCACACGCGCCTCCACTATTCTCACACGCGCACGCGCTTGCACGCGCCCCCACGCGCGTCTGGAATCAGTCACGCGCGCGCACGCGCTGCCATGCGCGCAGTAATGCATCCTGATGACGCGGCACTTGCCGATTCGTTGGTTGCATGGTCTTGCTATGGGCGCGCTACACTAGATGAATCTACCTAATCCAACGGTTCTTGATCCGGGTGTACTGCAGTAACATGGACTGCGATGCACCGGATCAATCAGACTCTACCAATGGCCAGGATGCACGCGCGCACTAACCTACAATGCGCCACATCACACCGGATCACTCCGGTCATCTTCTTCACTGCCGGTGGCCGGAAACCTTGTCGGAGGCTCGCCGGAAATTGCAGAAAAGCCCTGGAAAAATCTAGAAAATTCTAGAAAAATCCCTAAAGCCTTATTTAATTATTTTCAGCTATATTTTAATTACATAGGCTAATAAATAAATATCTAACCTCTTTAATAATTAAAATCTCATTATTTTAATAAACTAAAAATTAATTTATTGAAATTCCTAGCATGGTTTCTAGTCTCTAAAAACCCGAAATAAATTAAATGAATAATTTATGGATTCAAAGGGGAAAAGTAGATAACAACTTGCCTTATGGATTTAAAATAAATCCGCCGGTTGTGCGTCGTCGGGTAAAATCGCCTACACCGGTCCAAGCTTCTTGCTCTCTCTTTTTTCCTTTCACTCTTATAAAATAGCTCTCTGTAATTTTTAAGCTTTCTAACTTAAGTGAGTTGCCTTAAGGGTAAGTTGGCTAACTAATATATATATACAACTTATATAATATATATAATACAAATATCTAAATTTTCATTAACTTTCAACATTCCCACCTATATGGCTTTAAGTCTTACCCATAAACATTAATGAAATCCTATCCTAATCTCTAATTTCATCATGACGATTTAATACTATTATTATTATTATAAATATTATTATTATTATATTATTATTATTATTATTATTATTATTATTATTAAACTATTATTATTATTATTATAAATATTATTATTATTACATAAAAATACATTGTATCATCATAATACTATATAACACAAATATAATACTTTGATTAACTAATAATGCTTAATTAAACATAATCAACAAATAAAATTATTAATAATAATACATGCACCATTAAATGAACTCAATATAAGAATGGTAAAGAAATCTACACATTAATTAATTAAATAAACTAAATT